CGTTCTGTTATTAGACTTACTGTGTACAATTTTGGAAGAATCGAAATTGCTGGAGTTAAAATAAGAAAGAATTTCATGAGCAGTCAAAAATTATACTAGTGCTTATTAAAAATGTTACTTTGGGGCCTGGCACAGTGGCCTAGCAGCTAAAGTCCTCACCTTGAATGTGCTGGGATCCCATATGGGTGCCGGATCTAATCCCTGTAGCCCCACTTCCCATCCAGCTCTCTATTTGTGGCCTGGAAAAGCAGTCAAGGACGGCCCGAAGCCTTGGGATCCTGCACTCTCTTGGGAGTCCCGAAGGAGGTTCCAGGCTCCTGGTTTCAGATTGGCTCAACTCCAGCCAATGTGGTCACTTGAGGAGTGAATCATAGGATGGAAGATCTTCTCTGTCTCTCCTCCTCTCATATATCTGACTTTGCAATAAAAATAAATAAATCTTAAAAAATATTACTTTGAAGAAGTCTTAAAAGTGGCTAGAACTGTGACACAACAAAAGTTTGGAGATGTGAAGTCTATGGAAAAAAAGTCACTTAGTTGACAATGATAGTGGGTTAAGATTAAGAATTCTTATTTTTATGATAATCCCAAATGGCATTAAAACTAATTGGACTCTTATTGGAGGCTAAACACCTATATGGTGTATCTGTAATGGCACCTGTCATGCCTATAGGTGGCATCTCTCCTCAGCGATTTGTGGTTGGGATGTTTGATGTTGCATAGCAGTAGTTTCATAATCATTACATGTAATAATTATTTTGTTCTAGACTTACCAGTTCACTGTGCAAATTTAAATGAACAGTAAAAATAGAAAAGGGAAGTGGTGAGGTTTTAAAGTTCTTGAATCATAGTGCCTTTGATGAAATTTGCTTTTTGCCAGTTTATCCTGGGAATCTACTTTAGCAAGCAGGTGTTTTAAGTTTTCTTGCATGGATCACATCTTCAGTTGCCTTTTTACTATGGCCCCGATGGAAGGGAAATGCGTTCCTGCTGTGTCACTCAAATCCTCCCGCATTGTAGTGTGGCTCTTTTGTCAATCCTTTTATGTCATGTGATTTTAATGTTCTGACATAAGGCTTGATGTACTTTTCAACATTCACATTGTTCCACTGATCTGTAGGTTCCCTGATGGAAAGCTATACACATGTGAATTCTATTACAAATGATAGTTTGTAGGCAATGCGCAAAGCTTGGTGTTTGTATAATGCTTTGCCTTGTTTTCAGTGTGGCTGACGTTATGCTAGAAGCAGGATTCGCTAACACAGGAGTTGTTGTCTTATGCTGTCCCTCAGTCTGTGATTTCATGGGAGGATGCAGAGCTAGTAAAAGGAAGTTGATAAAACATAAGCTTGATTCCAGGATAAAGGAAGTTTATGAGATAAAGGAGTAGTGCAAAGGAGTTAGTGTTGTTGATTGTGAGGTTGGGGTGAGAGACCTTGATAATTGACTAGGATTTGAAGCACAAGTAAGACTCCAACAGGCAGTCCACAGGAGCAGTGTGGAGCAGAGGAATGGGGCATAAAATAACACAGTGGTTCTGTCACATGATTGCACATGGACCGTGATTGAAGCCATTCTTGTGATGGGGAGGCTTTGTGTGTGATTAAGATGTGGCTGAGGGAATGTCAAGGGGATTGAAGAGGCAGCACATTCATGCCTGCATGTCTCAACACATGGCTGTTAAAATTACTGAGATATAAGACAGCATGGACAGAGGCTGGGGTTAGTGATGTTTCCTTTAAAGTGAGCAATCGAAGAAGCTGAGGATAAGAATGAGTTAATTGTATGGAAACTAGAATGCCAGCAGGCCCAGAGATTGTGAAGGAAGAAGGAATTAAACCTGGGTGGCTGGCGTGAGGGGTGAGAGTGGAGAGGCCGTAGAATGGGACCATCCACACATATGTGAGAGGTTCGGCCTGGGATTTGTCTTTTGTCTTGCCCATCAGTGAAGGCTCATGAAGACCTCTTGTGTGCAGTGAGTGCACTGTGTCTGCATTTGTACATGGAGAGAAGCATTCCATGTCTTTGTGGTCTCTGTCCTCGAGAGGCCCAGCCCCCAAAGAGTGGCCATGGTAATTCCCAGAGTGACTGTAGTGCAGTAGATCTGAATACATGCTTGTGTTTACCAGTCCACCCAACAACACAATCTACCCTCTTCACTTAAAAACTCCCATTTTCATTATTCATTGTTTTCCTTTCATTACAGCAATGAAAACATCATCACCTGTATCAATTTGTTATTTCTTTTGAAGATTTATTTAATTTTTAAGATTGGAAAGTCATATTTACAGAGAGAAGGAGAGACAGAGAAAAAGATCTTCCATCCACTGGTTCACTTCCCAAGTGGCCGCAATGGCTGGAGCTGATCTGATCTGATCTGAAGCCAGAAGACAGAGCCTCTATGGGTCTCCTATGTGGGTGCAGGATCCCAAGGCATTGGGCTGTCCCCAGCTGCTTTCCCAGGCTACAAGCAGGGAGCTGGATGGGAAGTGGGGCAGCTGGAATACAAACTGGTGCCCATATGGGATCCTGGCATGTGCAAGGTGAGGACTTTAGCTACTAGGCTATGGCACTGGGCCGATTTGTTATATTTTTAAGTAACATTTGATGACTTAGGAAAAGCTCATGATGTAATTTTAAAGTTAAATTTGATTTAGAAATTATGCATGTAACAAGATCCCAGTTTTATGAATTTGTATGTGTGTGTATGTTGGGGTAGGATGAAGAATCATCACCATGTTAGCCATGGCTACTGCTGAATTATTGAAGGTTAGCAGAATGTTTATTTTCTTCATGTCACAGATTTTTTGCAGTTGTTATGTATTATATAAATATAATAAGAGAAGTGTTTTATTTATTTATTTTTGATAAGCTTACATAGTTGATTAGGGTACAAAGGGTCAAGGGCTACAGGAAAGTGGGTAAGACCATTGTTTCCACACTAATATTGTAATTTTTCTCCTGTATGTGGGGTCAGGGGAGAATCAGAGAGAGAAGCCCCACCCAGCCTCCCACCCATCCCAGGTCCCCGATGTGGGGCATGCTCCGAGGGTCCTGCTCAAGCAGTTTTGATAGTTCAACAGTTCTGAATTGCGGCCAATCTCCACGTTCCAAGCATGATGAAATCTCTTCAGAATCCACTGGCTGACAGACGTCATGGTTGGGGTTCTGAGCTCTGCAGTTCAGTTGGAGGGATCTCCTACTCCTTGATTTTATCTGACATTTGTAATTTAAGTCCTACTGGGCTTTTTGTTGTCACACAGCAACTTTCCAGCTGTTCTCGCCTGTCTGGAAGGTGCTGTCCATTCCTAAGAATTCCTTTCAGGGCATCCTTCCCTCTGTGCTGCTCAGGAGGTGTCCCACACAGCCCAGTTCATTGACGTACGGCACGCTCCTCAGATCTGCCCACACACTGGTTTTTGTGTATTCTGTGTCCGTGCTCCTGGGGCTGAGCACTGCTCATTGGTCTCTGTGCTCTCTCTGTCCTTATGGGTGCCACTTTTCATTCCTCTACTCTTTCAGTTTTTTTTTTTTTTGGATGTGCTATGACTGACTGTAGTCATTTTGTGATGTTTCTAATACATATCTGGTTATTTATAGCTCTGCTCAGATACTGCTCAACGTTTCATTTGGATGTTAGTTTGAAGAGTGTATTATTCCCTGGGTATCTCTATATTTCTCTTTGTAGTGTCTGTATTAAGCAAGAGCAAAATGTCATCTGAAAAGTCATGTGTATAGGTTGTATTCTATTGAGGCTTGCATCTAAGTATGATTGTTATCTTTTAAGGCAATTTCAGAAGATAGAAGTGAATGTGAATGTTAGACACGTCCAGCTTTCCCCTCTGTCCTTCCTGTCTTTCCTTACCTTACTATTCCTTCTCAGCATCCACTACATTGTGCTGTAGATCCTGCCAGTTTTGGCATCACCTGAGCACACCTTATTGATGATGTATTTATCTGTCTCTTCACTGGACTGAGAGCAACTTGAGGGAACAGCCGTCAGTGCATTAATGCCTTAGGCTGCCCCGTTGGTCCCCATCATCTATAATGTATGATCGATCCTTCAAAAGCATCCAAAGATATTTTGATTTAATTAAGAGCTCCTTCATAACTTTGGCAATATGAAGCAGTATTCTGTGAAATGCATTAAATAACGACTCCGAGAAGCAAGCTCCTGTTAGAGAAAGACTTTAAAACAAAAGAATTAAAAAAAATTTTCACATTGCAAGGCTAATCAAACACTACAGCAGATTACCAAGGAAGGAGGTACAGTCTCCAGACCTGGGGAACCTTAAAATGTGGACAGAGGAAACGTCTGTGAGGATGGCTGAAGTGTAAAACCTGTCTCGAGGCAAGCAGATAGACAGAATGATAAATGATTCTGTGGCCTACAGAGAGAAAGCTGAGGGGAGACATTAAAACTGCTCCAAGTGTGGAAAAAAGCATTTCCTGAGAGCTTCGTTGCTTGGAGCTGTGGGTCACATTTTATAGTTAAGGACTCGGCATCAGGGATTGTGAAGATCTTGTGGAAATCTGTAAAATAAGTGACATCGATTTTTGCATGTGTGTGAGATGAGGATGTCAGCTTCAAGGTTCTGATGTAGAAAGTTAACTTTGATCTGAGTCCAGTTAGAATTCCTCAGTTGTGTGTCATTCTCAGGGAAGGCACCATGTGACACTGCTGTTTCGTGGACAGCAGGGGAGAACCCAGATGTTAGCTGTGAAGTTATTCCCCCTCTCAGTGCTGGAGTAGGCAATGCTGTTAAGTTGGAACTAATAGGGTGATTGGCAGTTTGGGACAAAGACCTGTTCCTCTGGGTCAGCCTTGATTTGATCCATGCCAATGTAAGAAGAACTGCAGACCTCTGTATGGAGGGTGGGACTACCCTAATCCTGTCAGAATTACCTTACCAGTCGTTTGACTGTAATGTGAAGCTTAAGCCACACGATGTCGCAATTGGATTTTGATTTTCACCATGTGCTTTGTCTCCCAATAATAGATGAAGGCATTTTCAAAGCTGGAGCTGAGCGGTCCGAAATGAGGGGGGCAGCAGAAGTTCAAGAGGATGAGGATACTCAGGTGGAGGTTCCAGTTGACCAGGTAATCTTACCGTCAAGCATAAACGTAAACTGAATTCTTTCAGGTTCTGTGCTATCAACTGTTTCTGTATTTGTATTAGTGAAACCCTCTCAGGTGCCGTGTGACTACACCTTATAAAGAAGAAAACTAGGGTAGGCATTTAGCCTTATGGTTAAGATGCCTGAGCCCCATATTGAACATCAGAGTAGCTAGGTATGAGTCCCAGTGCTGGCTCTCAATGTGAACTTCCTGCTAGCACAGACTCTGGGAGACAGCAGTTGACAGCTCACGTAGGTAGGTCCCTGCCACCGACATGTGGAACCCATGTTGAGTTCTTGGATTCTGTCTTCTGCCTGACTCAGCCTCAGCCATTGCAGGCATTGGCATGATGAGCCTGTGGTTGGAACTCCCTGCCCCCACCCATCATGGTCTTTCAAACACAAAAAGTAGAGCATCCTTTAGTTCTTCCTAATATCCCCATAGGAACCAGCATCAGGACCGAGTCTTGTCAATATGGGAAATGGCATGTCTTCAGTGTGACACAGAAGAGCAAGATGGGGTGAAGTTAGAATGAGGTGCAAGGAAGCAGGAAGTCTGACACTAGAGTATTTGAGGTTTGAGATTGGCTTGAGGTTTTTGTCAAGAAAAAAAAAAGCCTTCATTTAGAAAAACATTATATTTTTTTTAAGTGTCATGGCATTTTCTCCTTTAGAGTCCTGGAAATTATTGTGGTTTGCATTTGTTTTTCATAATGGGATTGCTTATTTAAGTACAATTTAAATATTTGTTATGTGAGTGTTGATGTTCTATCTTGGGTCAGTGGGACACTGTCCCTTGTGGAACACTGTTCTTGTGGACACACGTGCACTTACAGAAGTGATTGAGTCATGTTACTTCTGGCTAGGTGATGCAACAGATAGAAGTCAACTTCTGACATGTAATTTAATAGGCATTCTCCCAATTCTTGGTGGAGGATTGGAGTCTGTGTGAGTAGGGAAACACTAATCTCACACTCAGGGGAACCACAAGGAGGCACTGGGAATTGCCACTTGTCCTCTGCCCATCATGTGATATTTCCTTTTCTAAAAGCAAATTTCACAATCCAGAGAATTGTACAGATGATCTTCTCGACTGTATTTGCCTTTAACAATGTGGCAGGGCCATTGCTGTTTGATCATTCCACAAGCGTTTTCTGCAAGCATTGTCTTCCTGATGAACCCAAGGTGCTAAAAATCACACCAATTTCAAAAAATCCTATTTGTTATCAAGGATTAGCTATAACTAATAGCTTTTCATAAATTCCAGTTATGGTTATTATTTTTTCCTGAGGGAAAATGAAATTTTAAGTCTTCTGTTAAAGCTATAATTAAATATTACATTTTAAAACAAAAAGAGTAGTCATCACTTATATGCAATATCTAATAGCTGCAAAAACCAAGACTAATTTATATTCCAAAGTCAAAATGCCAGATAGCAAGAGAAAAATCATAGCATTATTAACAAAAAGAGACATTTCTGTATTAATCACTTATTAACAACTTGTAGCATCTGTGACAGGTGTGTGACAGGTATTTTTTAAATCAGCTTTTATGTTGCTAAGGCAGGGAGAACTGATAATACTGGAACAGCTTTGCTTCATGTCTGCAGAACATGGTACCCTGTTCGACTTGTGAGTGCTAGCTTATCAAAACACAAGCCCACAAGAGTGGCTGAGAAATAGACTGGCAGAAGCTAGCCCATGCCAGCCAGCTGATGTCAGCTCAGAAGAAAGAAAGCCAAGCAGGAGAGGAGCAGAGGTGCCTCCTTGCTTGACTCTTTTGTTCATGGGATTGGGACTGCCTGGTATGTTTGGCCCATGGTGTTTAAGTGGTCACATCTTAGAGCATTCTCCTTATGGTCTGGTGACATTAAGCATAGCAAGAAACTGAGTGATTGTGGGGAGGAGACAGAATCAAACCCGTCCATCTTAGGTTCATTATAGGAAGGGTGTCCCTGGATCACAACCCAGTCAATACCTGTAGCAACCGATAGCTATCATTTATTAAGTATCTATAATCCCATAAGGTAGATTTGATCATCCTCATTTTATATTTAAATGTCAAGCGGAAGTAAGCTCCTGTAGGTGGGATAATTTGCATTGCATTGCTGTCCTCTCTCAGGGGTGGGGATCCTTTATTTTTCTTCCATGAGCCATTTGGATAGCCGCATCTGTGGACCATGCAAAAGTATCAGCTTAAAAATTAGCATGCTAGAGATTTATTGAATATTAAGTCCTGCCTGTGTTACCTTGGCAGGACCGGACCAGATGATTCTGTGGGCATTGTACGTCCCGTGGGCTGGGCATTCCCAACCCTTGCATGAGATTTGAAAGTAGGTCTAACTTCAAAGCAGGGGAGAGTGGCCAGTGGGAAAATAAAGCCAGTTATGAACCAGGGAAGGAAAAATCCCCGCATGAGACAGGAAGTGTTATCATTATACACTGTTTGGCTGACTCCTGGGCTGTTGGCTGAGAGTCATAACTTCTTGTCATAAATGTCCCTTGTTTTGGTTTTAGTCAAAGGGACATGAAGGGTGTGTGTGTGTGTGTGTGTTTAAATGCTATGTTTTGTTTGTCTAGGTTGTTCATCCTTCTTGCAAAGATTGCCCTGTCTGAGCCCCCATCATTGGAGACTGGCTCCTGTGCTTCTGCACATCTCGGGATCAGAGCCCCTGACTACCTTAACACTGAAAAAGACAATTGCTCCCTGGGAGTGAGTCTGCCTCCAAGGGAAGGGTTGGCAATTTCTGGGGACACTTTGGTTGTTGCAACAGGAGAGGGTGATTGGCATCTCGTGGGACTGGTGGGGATGCTTCTGTCTTGAGATTCACATGCCTACCCTTGTAGTGAAGTTACCCAGTCCCAAGTATCAACAGGGCTGAGGCTGACACCACGCTCTGGGGTGAAGACCAGGCGTGCTTACTCTCCAGGATAGTAACTATACCATCTCCTACAAAGCTCAGGCTGGCTTACTACTCGTTGTAAACTATTTGATGCCAAAGAAGTGCACACCAAAGACAGGTTTAAATGATTCACCTTGACTTAAAGTATCTTTTACCAAAATATAGATATTTCTGTAAAAGAGATTGGAGTTCCCTAAGTCCTGGGAAATGCAAACCACATGTGTATTACGCAGTCTTTATGTTCTTGTCTTACAGGGATTGGGCCTTAGGTGTAAATGGTGATATTCTGGCCACTGCTGTTACCATGAGTGATGAAGTCCTTTGCTTTTGACCCCATGATTCATGTCTTCTGCCAGCATCCAATAAGCTGGGGCAAGCTAACATGTTAGGGTTGCTTGCAAGTAGGGTAAATTTCAGGTCCTTCATAATCCTTGATAGCCCCGATTCAACCATTCAGCATGTGTGTTTGTGTATGTGTGTATATTTGCATGTGTGGGTGATGGGACATTATGGACTAATTCCAGCTGAGAAAGAAGACTATGTCATGAAGTACACATTCTTTTCATTAGTTGGAGATGTTGCTGATGATGGACCTAGTGCTGCTTCCAAACCTGTGGGACCAATAAAGAATTTTCACATTCTCATTTACAGTTGAAGAGGCCAGAACACATCTATTTTCTTGGCATGGGGTTTGAGTGTACTATGATACTTTTTAAAATGATGTTTTTCTGGGGGTGGGGGGGTCCCAGCGTGGTGGCTCAGTGGCTAAGTTCATCAGCTTCGCTGTGCCAGGGTCTAATATGGGCACCAGTTTGTGATTTGGCTATTTTGCTTCCCACCCAGCTTCCTGCTTGTAGCCCAGGAAAGCAGTAGAGGATGGTCTAAAGCCTTGGGACCCAACAGCCATGTGAGAGACCTGGAGGAAGCTCCTGGTCCTGGCTCTGGATCAGCTCAGCTCTGACCCTTGTGGCCACTTGAGGATTGAACCAATGGATGAAAGATCTTTTTCTATGTCTTTTCTTCTCTCTGTCAATCTGCCTTTCCAATAAGAATAAAGTAAATTTAAAAAGTAATGCTTTTTCTGTCTTAGAGGCAGGAGGAGACAAAATAAGAGGAAAAGGAAGGGGGAAGGGATTAAGGAGGAGTCTGAGAGGAAACAGAAAGAGAGAGAGGGGGGAGAAAGAAAGACACCTCTTGAATCCTCCGGTTCGTTATCCAAATGTCTGCACTCTTTGGAAATGGTTTAGGCTAAAACCAAGAGCTTCTTCCAAGTGTGTAGAAGGAACCCACGCATTTGAGTCATCACTTGGTGTCTCATGGATGCGCATTATTCGGAAGACAGAGTCAGGAGGGGAACTGGGACTCTAGACCATGCTCTAATTTAGGCATCCCAGGTGGCATCCTGACTGCTGCCCCAAATGCCTGCCCTGACTATGACTTCCACAGTGAGCAAATCAGTGGAGGATGATGGCTCAGTAGCCCCATGCCAAAAGCGGAGGTTTTCAGGTTCCCGTGTGAATGCCATGCCTGGGAACGTGTAGGACTTAAAAGGGCCCATGTGAGCCAGCTTCTAGCAGAGTTTGACTAAAACTCCATGCCACTTCTTTTTGTATAGGATCAGATCTCTGAATATAATCACTCTTTGTAGGTTTTTGTGCCTTCAAAGCACATATAAACCCTTCTTTCTTTGTGAAAATAAGCCTCTGAAAGCTGAAAACAAAAAGCAGTACTTAGCTATTATAAAAAATTGAAACTGATTATTTCAAAACACCTCATTCAACTTGGGTAGGAGATGATTTTAGTTTCCATGGGAACAGAAATAAAAATGGGTGTGATAACTTCTGTATTTTCAACCTCCCAGCCTGTTCTTGAACACAAAATGCGCGGAACATCTTCTGTCCCCCAACCTGTAACAGATTCACACATTTTCCCAAACTCCTGGTGCAGGAATGGGCATGCCAGAGAACCTTTTCATTTTTATTGGTTCTGATCTCAAGTTTCTCCATCCACTATATTTTGGTGAGAGAATGGGGAGTAGGTGGGAATGAGGAGGGATGGAAAGGTTAATTAGAGGCCCTTGA